CAAAGTTATACAACTAACCAACTGACTAAGAAGAAAAAAAGTCTTTTAAACCATATTTGGACGGTGTAATCGGCAAAGCGTACATTAAACAAATTTCCTTTTCGTGACTTATCGTTGTATGCAAATCGTACTACTACGAGTGTCTTTAAAGAATTAGGAATAAAAGAGCACTCATGTAATCCCACATACAAAAACATCATTTGACAAGGATGAGATTTTAGCTTATCATAAGTCCTTTATGACTTCAATGAACATTACATTGAGCAGCGAAATCGAAGGACTTACCTTGTTTGTATCATATTTACTGCGTATTACTGTGTGTTTCTTTTTTCTACATTGACTAGAGGTATAGGGAGAGGGTTAAGATCTCACAAAACACGTTTAACCATGCCGCATTTTTGCACCTGTCCCAAGTCAGGAGCCTCCGGCCTTTGTTTTTTATTGTGTTTTTGTTGTTTTTTTTTATTTATTTTAGTTCTTTATATGTTTTGGAGTTAAGTATGACGTACATTTTCACTGAACTAGTACACATTTTTATTAAGAGGCCAGCTGATTCCCACATCTGGGTGCGGGATTTTCTCGCTGCGTTGAAGACCCATTGGTGGCCTTCGACTGTTATCTGCTCTTTTGTCTTTTTGTCTCTTTGATTTCTTCCCCATTTCCATTCTCAATTTTATAAGTTACACAAAATTTCATACACACAACCGTATATTGCCGGCTGATCTACATGTTCGACGAAAGAATTGTCTATTAGATTGACAAAGATTCTTTCCGCAGGGAAAGAGGGTCTTCAGAAATACTGTGAAACTGTTTACTCGCTTATGTGAAATTGAAAAATCGTCTACAAGAAATGATTCATAATGCTTTTCAACATAAAAATGTTTGCAAACGCTATAAATATACTACTTTGGGATACCATACGGCATATTTTGTTAAAAGTGAACAAAAAAGTAAAACATGCTACACAGAAGAACAAGTAATTAGTATGCTAGAGTTTTTTTTATTGACAACATATTTGGTCGGCAAACCTATGGGAACGAACAGTTCCCCTCTCCTTATTTTCATATGAGTAGGAGTTCCTTTAGACATTTGTCAAAAACAAGAAGATGAAAGAAGCCAGATTATTTAATTTAACATTCAGATATATTGATGATGTTCTTTCCAGTAGCAATCCAAACTTTTCTGATTGGGTTCAGTTTATATATTCCCCAGAACAAGAAAGTAAGGAAACAACAGACACGGCTTCCTCTGCTTCAATTTTATACTGATACTTCGAATTTGACATGACTGGTCATTTCAATATCATAATCTATGAGAAACGATACGATTTTAATTTTGAAATTAACAATTTTCGCCTCCTCCTTAGTAGCAATATACCAACTTCACCTGCATACAAGATATGCATTTCCCATCTCATTCAGTATTCAAGAGCTTGCAGCTGCAACTCAGACATTGCAAAACATCACCAGTGTTTGAGCAGAAAGTTGATAAACCAGGGTATTTTAAACATCTCGTCCTTTTTCTAAAAATGTTCATCGGAATGTACCAAGACCTTGTAGATTAATATTCCGCGTCAATTTCACAAATAATAAACGATGGTATTGAAGTATAGATTCTAGGTACTGATGTTGTTTGTCATCTTAATGACCTGTTATGGTATTTTTCATTTGTCTTTGTAAATTATTACTTTAACTGTTTAGTATATTTATGGCAATATCTATTTGACGTGGCTCGGTACTTATACATCCTGTCATTGTGTAATTGTTGTGCTATGGTAAATTTTTGTATTCCTGTCTTTCGTTTCTTTCGTTTTTATCTGATGTGCTTTGTCTATATGAAATATTTGTTTGTTTTATAGTGATTGCGATTATAACACAATGTTGACTGCTGTATCCCTATTTTTGACATTTTTACCTATTATGTCTGTTTGTTTTGTTCACACATCGTTGTCAAAATAATGGAATTTTATGCGACTGCCATACAAGTGAGAGGTTTAGCTAGCTATAAAACCAGTTTTAATCCACCATTTTCTACATAAGAAAATGCCCGTATCAAGTCAGGAATTTGTCAGTTGTTGTCCATTTGTTTGATGTGTTTGAGCTTTTGATTTTGCCATTTGATAAGGGACTTTCCGTTTTGATATTTCCTTGGGAGTTCAGTATTTTTGTGATTTTACTTTATACATCTGTTGTTATATTTTGAACCAGTCTTTGATGAATAAAAGAAGATGTGGGGGTTAAAAGCCCATGATATAGTAACCCAACTACAAAACTAACCAAACAATATTTAGAGGACAACACGAGTCTTCAACCATCCACGAAACAATAAGTTAAAAATTATTTGTTTTATATAGTGAAATTAAGATAAAAAAATCCTCACAAAATTCCGAATTTAAATATATAAAAGATCAAAATTTCGAATTAGAATTAAGCCGATATAATTTCCATTTTTTTCAATTATTATAACGAACGCTCTGAATTTTGCTCATTGTTGAAGGCCGTAAGGCGACATATAGTTGCTAACATCTATGTCATGTTTGTATCTGGTGGATAGTCATCTCATTGGCAATCAAACCTCATGTACTTATTATATAATACTACATTGTATATGCGTTCATCATGTTCATATGTCTTTTTATATTCCAAATAAAACGATTTTATTAAAAAGTATTCCAATAGTTGTATATTGGGTGTTAATTTTAATCGTTACTCTTCCTTCATAAACATGATAAACGACACGAAACATAACTGAACCATGTCAAACATGAAATAAACTACAACACGACTTAATCAAGCCATGACACCGAATTTTCTGCATATTTTCGAATAATTGACGGCAGCATTATATCACGGAATATGTGATGTAACAGACAGTAAGCAAACCACTTTTCGTTATGCATTAGAAACGAATCACACCTTTTAAATTTTGACATACGCAAGCATTATTATGTGTCAATTTATATACTATATGACACAAATTTTCATGTACTAACATATTAGCTATAAACAAAAATTCTTACCAGCTTGAATTAATGGTCAGAAGTTCCTTTAACAAAACATTCGAATGTTTATATTTTGGCATTGTTTGTCATCAAAAACACTTAACACGGTCATGTCTAACTTAACCAAACTATGACAAAATCACTGTACTAAACGCTCCTCGATATGACGGGGTTACTACCCGTGTATATAGATGATGTTATCTCAAATAATAATACAAAATGTGGTGTCTTGTTGAACGCATCTATCCCATCGAACTTATGAAGAAGGATACAGCCGATACAGTCAAGTCGGCCCCTATATCGTAAACTAGACATTACAATTGACAATGATGGTCGGCAAAGCACAAAATTTTACGACAAAGGAGATGATTTCACCATCCCAATTGTGAACTTTCCGTTTCTATGTAGCAACATTCCAGCAGCGCCTGCATACGGATTATATATCTCCCAGTTAATACGATATTACAGGGATTGTAATTCCTACAATGACTTCCTTCATAGAGGGAAGCTGCTTTCAATGAAGCTATTAAACCTAGTGTTTAAAGTTGAAAAGTTGAAATCGTCCCTTCATAATTCACAGATGACAACAGATATGTTTTGTCGTAACTACAATCCCGTACCCTTTTCCCCGAATGTGACCTATCGAATAAGACCTATCACCGTGTTGTACTAACAAGAGCAACACGATGGGTGCCACATGTAGAGCAGTATCAGCTTACCCATTCAGAGCACCTGAGATCACCCCCGCCCCAGTTTTCAGTGGGGTTTGTGTTGCTCAGTCTGTTGTCTTCTATTATGTGTTTTGTGTACTGTTGTTTCTTTGTATTGTTATCTTTTTTAGCTATCGCGTTGTCAGTTTATTTTCGACTCATGAGTTTGAACGCTCCTTTGTTATCCTTCGCCTCTCTTTTATTCTTTTTCGTTAAAAACAAACTGTTTATATATTCATTTAGGACACAAAGAACTCATAGGCCAGATATACTCTACAGCCCAAATGTAGTCTCAAGGTGAGTCATAATTATCCTTTAAAATATTAAAAACTGTTGCATTTTTGTCTTGTTCAGTAATAAGAAGAACGATATCTTTCATGTATAATTCTATGTAATATTATTGTCAACACAAACATGAGTAACATTTCTTTTTTTGTCCCCGTAACAAGGTTGACGGGCCTTATAGTTTTATCCTTATCCGTCTTTCCGTCATCCCGTAATTCTGTCATTCTGTCATTTCAAAATTCCACAACGAACATTTATACGGATTTTTTTTTAAACACCTTCACATATTGAGCTGATTTTTAGGCTGTAAGTCTATTATAATGAGTTACAGATCGAGATTACCTTTGTTTTTTTTTCCTTGATTTTTGCATATGAGACTTTGGTATTTGAAAATTTCAGGAAAATAGCAATTAAACGGACCTTTTTTGTATCTAAACGCCTTCACATATTGAGCTGATTTTTTGGCTGTAAGTCAATTACTATGAATTACAGATAACATGTAACTTCACGTCTGGTTCTGCTCCACTGATTTGTGTTGAGACTACATGCATTGGACTTTGAAAATGTCGTGAAAATAACAGTTATACTGACATTCATTCCGAAATTTTCACTCAAATGGCTTTTATTTGTTGGTTTTTTTTTTTGCGAACGTGGTCATTCATGTCGTTCCGACACATCTAGTTTCTTTTTTATGTTTAATTGTAGTTGATAGATAAAACTAAACTCTAGTGTGAACTGTATATACTATGTATAAAATGCAAGTTTACAGCACCAATTTTTCTATAGATAAATTATCTGTAAACCTCAAAATATTATGGCACGCAGCGAAACAATTTTAATTTCTGAGAAAGTATGAAAATATGAAACAACAGCATACACTGAGTAGAAAATATTGTTCCATGTTTTCAAATCTTTTCTCGTTTTCATGGAAACAGTCATTAAAGGTCCGCATTTTTTAATATTTGACATATTCAAAGTTTTCTCTATTTCTTTATAAAAGTGCCTTAGTTTGATATAGTTTTATTGTTAGATTTAATAAACAGGTACGAAATATTATGGAAAATAACAAAAAATGATCATAATCCAGATTTACACTATCATAATGAGCAATTAACAGGTATAAATCAACAGAATATAACAAATTTATCAAAATATATTGACAATATAATGCAGCAACTATTGGGTTAGTCAGCTATAGATTTTGATAGAGGTTGCAACAAACATTAATGGGCAAACGATTTATTGCTAAGACAATTTGCTTTGCATCTTAGCTATATTTGATAATTTCTTTTGTTTTCAGCTGTGTAATTGTCTCCCCTTAAATAAAATGCTTACTTAAAAAACACAATAAAGTTTAAACAGGAAAAGAACTATGGAAGGAGGGAAAAACTTAATTTTTATATGTTCTTTATGTGATCTCAAGTTTGTTTGAAATATTTGCTCCTATTAATATGTGTATAAAATTTTTACAGTATTTAATTTAAAAAAAAGTGCATTTCATCAAGAATAAATATAATGAAAACAAAAAGGTGATTGATTAGAATTGACAATAAATTATGAGCATACATTAGGCAATTGATATGTCTTGCGTTTCGGGTAACTGTTTCACATGTACATATTTAATAGACCATATTAGTATAAAACAAATAAATTTGGTCTGAAAATATTTCCTTGTCTTACACCTACATTACTCTAGAAAAGCTATGTTCTTCACACATAATTCAGTGTTTTTAACATTCAAGTAGGTATATAATAGACGAAGTTCTCTTTATGTATAGTATAGATATTCTTGTATAGAAGGGAACTCAGTTGAGGGAAGATGTTTTATCTTTTGGGACAAAGGGTAAGTATATGCATTTGTTCATTAGACAAAGTTAAAAAGTTATCTTTGGGTAAATTTGAGTTACAACAAATGTGTACCACTACCTCAGTAAATTGTTAGTTTTACTGGATTATTAAAGGCGAGTTGCATATCTTTGTCAACCTTACCTTTTTTAACAATTATGTACAGGAACATATTTTTAATGCTGTGTTTATATATTTCTTTTTCATTCTGAAAACAAATTATATTTTTAAGAATTTCAGAACTTACTCAAATTACTTAAAATCTTTACCCTCTCACCCACATTTGTGAAAATTAAAGATATGTTGAGCATGCCTACTATTTGAATATTGATAGCAATTTTATTATCTTCCAGTTTTATGTTTTACCAATTTTCATTATGGTACTTTGTTTTTAGACTTCATAACATATGTATAAATCTTATATTAATGGTCATTGTCCTTTAAAACAAACATCACTAGAGTTAAGCAAAATGAAATAAAGTTTCTACTAATGACAATAAGTTCACAATAGCAACAGTCAAATTTTAATAATTTAATTTAAGTTCATACATATCTGTTATATTGTTAAGTAATTACACGTTTTGCTACCCTAGAAGACAAGTGCACATTGTTATCTAGAAATGATTTCTGATTCAATATAATTGGGTCCATTCCTTAGTTTATGAGCTTTATTTCTGAAGGACCATGTGACAGAAGAGTACCACATGTCAAATCTATCATTGAAAGACATGACAATGAAGAACAGCATGTCATAACTGGAATAAATATGAAACAGGTTAGTTTTGTCTTCCATCATGATAAACAAATCATTTAGGAAGAACACTCATCATTAAACTTATAATGTCTTATATATTTATAAATATTGATTACCACTTAATTTAGTGTTTAAGTTGCCTTTACAATATTCTTCTATATTCCTTTTATGTTAAATCAAGCATTATAAATCGTCCTGAATTGTCGAGTACTACTTTTATCATGTTATATTGGCCGTTTTTTCAAAACTGGTCTGTGTTTTTGAAAAAAAAATGCGATCACGAAAGAAGACCGTTAGGACTATCAGACTTACCTTTTAATTTTAGTTCAATACTGTCATTAAGTTAAGAACAATACCACATATACATATATGTATAATGTTTTCTAAATACAATGCCAACTTTCTTTTAAAAAAGTTCACCATAACCGCACAGTATTATGGAACCAAAACAGTCTCTAGAACTAGTGATAGTAGACCCATTCCGTTTCAGTTCATGCTTGCCAAAAGTGTAATTAGTTTCTTATAAATTATTTGTCGCACATTTAAAGATTTATCGTCAATTGTAAAAAAAAGAAGGCACCCAGGGGACAATAAAATAAAAATATAAATTCTTCAAACAAAGGTATCGGTATTGCAAAAACCATAGAGGTCTGAAAGGCCAACGAAATAAAACAAAAACATACAAAATACTGAGCAAAACATTATCATTATCAATTATCATTGTGACGTCACACAGGCGCACATATCTTCTACTATTGGATTTAGAACATGGCTTTTATCACGTAGAAAATTTAATCACGTCATAAAATCACATCTCATTTACGAAACTTTCAACGTTTTTGTATATAATATATATATATCTATACATTTGGTATCTCAGTATTTCCATATCCTATCCGATACTATAACTGCGCAAGGTTATTACTAATTTGCATAGTATTTACAGGCGTCCTCATATGATGGCGGAGGTTTTTCGTGCGAAAATGATGGCTTAATAAGAGTCGGGGGAGGCTGAGCCGATCTGCTACTGTTCCCCTCTATAGAAAAGTGTTGCTGCGGTTCATGTATTTCTATTTGTGAAGATGATGCAAGGTTACCCGTTACTCCTGAGGAATTTGCTGTATTTGTGATCTGAATATCATGTCGAGGATTTGGTGAAATCAAAGTTGAATGTTCTCTTTGTTCTGTAGTTCCTCTATTCCGAAATGCTGAAAACGAAAGTTAATGTCTTTTAAAGGAAATTAACTCTTACATATTTTAGAAGCCATTTGTGAATAACTAGAAAGGCAAGACATTATAAACAACACAAGTGATCTACAAAAACTGCCGTTCATTTGACATAAAAAAAATACATATTGAAACCTTACGCCACATTTTTGCCTATCTCTCATTAAAAAGTTTTAATGATATTATTTAACATTTGAAATAGGTAAAAATCACCATTTAACAATAACTCATTTGAGAAGTCGATCCTCAATTATTTCTGTTGTGTTCAGAAAGCATAAACAGATCCTGCTCCACATGCGGCACCTGTCCTATTGCCTTTATAAGAAAATTCGGTGATGTCAAATTCGAAGAAAAGAAGACGAGATTGTGGATAAGACAATTGAATGATATTTAGCATTCCATGGTCATCTCCGACACTAACATTCCATAACAGTCAACCAATTCGTGATAGACGAACCAAACCGCGTGAGCTCAGCTTCTCCGGAAGGAAAAGCATATCCAACTCCTGTCCTGTTGTTCGTGTAAGTACAATTGCGATGATATATCAATGCGGTGTTTATTAACGTTGAAAAGACGACAGATTGTTGCTACGACAGTTGAAACACATCCGTTGTCATCTGTAACACAGATATTCTATCAGGTTCAACCAAGTCCTGTTGATGTTCGTAGACTCTCGAAGAAATTACCAACTTTACTACCCGAAACCCTTGGTTCACTGCCTTTCTTCCAAACAATGAATCTTTATCTAGAATATCAGGAAAATATAGGAAAAGCAAGCTCTGAAATGTCGTATCAACCGGCAGATATATACTTAATACGCATGCATTGCTTGAATACTTCTACACCAAAAGGGAAAGTTTACAATTGGGAAGCTGAAATAGATCATTTTTGTTTAAAAATTATTTTTTTTATTTTTGCTAGATCTTGGTGAAAAGATCATTTTTTGCTGTAAATAGTTTCACTGTATCTGTTATAGTTTTCAGGAAAAAACGCGAACAAAAACGGCAAACATCGTTATTTAAAGCCTTAAATTATCATTTTTATCCTGTACCCTTTTCTGTGTTTGAAACCATAATGTCATTATATAAAACAATTAGAAAATTAAAATACGTCGTCGTCGTCGTCGTCGTCGTCGTCGTCGTCGTCATCATCATCATCATAATCATCATCATCATCATCATCATCATCGTCATCGTCATCATCATCATCGTCATATTCATCGTCATCATCATCAATCTCATAGTCATCGTCGTAAAAGAGAATCAAGGTTAGATTTCATTAATGCATCACATCAATTGTTCTGTGGTCCGTTAGTTGTAATTACCTCGCCTCGCATTCTCCATTCCATTCTGACTCTGACTCTTTCTTGTACATCTGTATTTACAATACCAACATATCAGTACCAAGACACACGCCACAAATGTAAAGATAATAACCAGTGTATCCTTAGTACTTAACGAAGAGTTATTATCATTGTCACTAAAATCTTTTGTCCATGAGGACCATTCTGTAAAATAAAGTAAAAATTAATTTGACAATACAATAAAATTCAGGTCTAATAAGGAATAAGCATGACTTTACTACCTTTAAAGCTGTGACACTTGTGCTTAGGTTACTGTTTAGTATCTTTCGATGGAATAAAAAAACAAAAAGAAAATCATACCCACTAATTGGTCACCAAATTATATATTTTTGATATAATTTACAAATGCCAGTAGTTAGTCAACATTTAATGATGATTTATTTATGTGTGTGCACAGTAGTTATTTAATGAAGATATTTTCAACTGCCTTTTGTTCCTAAAAAAATAGATGTAGTATGTTTGTCAATGCAGAAAACTATCCACTAGAGACCAAACGAAGTGAATGTGATCAATTACAGGTCACCATGCGGTATTTAACAATAAGCTAAAACTATATCGCAATTTAAGCTATAAAAGTTCCCATAATATGACAAAATGATATCAAATTCAAACGAAAAAAAAAAAAAACGAAAACAAACATACTGATTGATGACATAACATTGAACTAGAAAAAAACTTATGACACGAGTAACCAATGACAAGCACTGAATGGCAGGTTTCTCACTTGAGACGGACAGCCACAAACATAATATGAGTGGGCAAAACAAGTTTGCCCCCCCCCCCCCCCCACCACCACACTTTGTTTACCTATTGAACAATTGTGCAGCAGCAAAACATTGAAAGGATGAAGCAAATATCAGATTTAAACGAACCACAAAAAGAAAAAAAAACTATCGTTCTAACTCGCAGTAATTCTAAGGTAGTTAAAATGAAACTTATAAAGATTTCATGGTTTTTTTCCAGATTAGAATGAAAATATTCATGTTAGTACTAAAATAGACAATACGTAGAGACCTTACAACAGTGTAAAATTGATTAACTTTGAAAAAAAAAAAAAAAAAAAAAAAACGTGTGTTCATCATGTTCATAGGAATGAATACGTTCTTGAACATGGATCGTATTTAAATATAAAGACGCTACAGTCAACATCAACGTACAAATTAGTATGTGCTTTTCCGAAAATTAAATACTTCTACATATATACAGCAAAGGTTCCAAATCGAATCTGTGTATCTATGAATGAATGTAGTTACAGTTTTAAGTAATAACTGTGGTAACGAAATTCTTGACTTTAAAATTTACCAAGTGGTTATAACTGATGGGTTTCTGTCATATTTGTTTTTCGTTCGGGGTGTAGCATAAATCAAACCGTTGGTGTTCTCTTTGAAGTGTTAACATTAGGGAACAACCATTTAACTTCAAGGGTTGTTTTTTTTTTTTTAAGTTTTTGCATGCTATCAATCAAATTTTTTTTTCAAACTTTAACACTTTAAGGAATGGTGAAAATGTGGATACAGAATATTTCGTTTTATCATCTGCTTGACAACTTTATTTTTCATCAAATCGTGGATCAGAATATAATTTTTAGGAAAGAACCATATCAAAAACATACCCACCCCCTTTTTGAAGTTAAATGGTAGTTTCCATAGTCGTACCAGGGAATGTCATAGCTAATTATGCGGGTGGTTTGTATTTGAATTGATGAAGCTCGTGACATGGTATAGTTTACAACTTTATTTTTTGAACTTCATGCCATATTGCTCAAGAGCAAAATTGATAATTCAATTATTTGTTTTCTTATTTTATTTTTTTTTGCTAACAATTACATATCCTTTCATACTAATATGAAATGTGCCATATTTTGAACTGATAACTCTTCTTGTTATTTTTTTTTCTTTTTTTTTTTTAAGTTTTAAGTTAAATTTTAAGTTTAGTTTTATAAACTTTTCAGGAAGTGATTAATTGCATTTATATATTAAATGAAAATCATCAGCCACCAGCCGAAAAAAAACTTGTCTCTTTTGTCCGTAATTCCATGATATATTTTCCACGTTTAATTAAGTTCGACAGATCATCTGTCTAACACTTACATGAGTTACGGACTATAGCAAAAAGTAATATAACAAAACTACCGAACTCCGAGGACAATTCAAAACGGAAAGTCCTTTATCAAATATCAAAATGAAAAGCTCAAACACATCAAACGAATGGATAACAACAGTCATACTCCTGACTTTGTACATGCATTTTTCCATAAAAGAGAGGCGAAAGATACCATTGGGACATTCAAACTTGAATTGAAAATAAACTAACAACGCCATGGCTGAAAAAGAAAAAGACAAACAGACAAACAGACAAACAATAGCACATAAAACACAACATAGAAAACTAAAAACTTAGCAACACGAACACCAACAAAGACTGGGGGTGATCTCAGTTTCTCCGGAAGGGTGAGCAGATCCTGCTTCACACGTGCATTAGTAATGGACAGTTAATGATGTTGCAAACGAAGTGTATTCGTTTGTGTCAAAAGTCAAAACCTTACCTCTTTGATTAGAACTTGCCATTGGACATAAGTTAGAATCTCTGTTTTCTGGAATAATTCGAATTTTAACATCACATCTTGGTGTCGTTTGGCAATTCCATCTTGAACCGTCACGACAATCTTGTGAATGTATGCAATTCCAACTGGAATCTTCACCAAAAGTAAATGTAACTCTTTTGTCTTTTACATTCCAAGGAAGACACCATTTTTTCATCAAACTGTTTTTTAAAACCTGTAGAGAAATGCATTGTTTTGGTGATGCATATGATTAGATAAAGCTAATATGATTTGTGAAAATTGCTTATTTATTAATATCGCATTTTAAAATTCAGGCTATTACAATTAGTCTTTAATATCAACTGTTTAGACTTTGTCGGTTGAAAAAAATGTGAAAGGGGAGTACTGTTACGGGAAAGTACCGAGAATACTAATATAACACATTAAATACATCATTTAATAAAATTGAGAATGGAAATGGGAAATGTGTCAAAAATACAACCCAACCAAAGAGCATAAAATAGCCGGCGGCCACCAATGGGTCTTCAACACAGCGAGAAAATCCCGCAACCCGGAGGCGGGCTTCAACTGGCCCCTGAACAAAATGTGTACTAGTTCAATGAAAATGGACGTCACACTAAACTCCAAAACATTTAAATGAACTAAAATTAAAAAACATACAAAACTAACAAAGGCCAGACTTGGGACAGACGCAAAACTGCGGCGGGGTTAAACATGTTTGTGAGATCTCAACCCTCCCCCTATACCGCTTCGTATGTAATTCTTCATCTTGTTTTGCTGTAGACATCGATACATTTTCAAAATCTATTTGCGTTTATTTTATTTCCAAAAAAGCACAATATGAATAAAATTCAGATAGAGTGCACACGTATTCCTTGCAGGTATCTACCAACACTCCGTTCTACGTTTTGTTCTTTAGATTATTTGATAAGCCTGTAATAGTTAGTGTTCAAATGTTGCAATGTTTGTTTCATAAATACAAAACCAGGGAAACTGGAAAGGGTTTATAAACAGAAATATGAACGAAGGGTTGTCATGGTTTTCAGATCTTTGAAAGCGACGCCTTGACACAGTATCTTTATTTCAATTAGAACAAACTACTAGTAAACAAGAAAAGAAATTGTACGCGATGTCTAGCAAGGTATGTCCCCTGCATAGTATGAATTTGATTGAAATTACTGGTTTCTACAAATAGAAAGTGATTCCCCTGAAGATCTTCTAAGGAACAAATTAACATAACTTAGTCCAACATTAGATATCAAGCAAATCTAAATGATTTTTTTTCCGTTGAAATGGTACACCTTTTGTCCCCTCCCTTGAATCCGCAACTGTGTATCGCCTCAATCGAGATATGGAACTACTATATGATGAACTACTTTTAATAATTTTTTATGAATTTTTCATCAAAATTAAAAGTCAAACATGTACAGCAAATTTGTGTAACTGCAAATGCGATTTCATTCACAAGAACTTTTATTTTCATTTTTTTACTTTCTTTTTTTTCTTTTTCATGTTTTCTTTTTGTTGAGTAAAATTGCTATAGGAAACTCCAAGGTGTCGCATGTTACATGTCACATCCCTTTAGTTTAATGATAGAAATAGAATGTTCAACTTGAATATATATTATTACCAGTGCTGGATAGTAATCAATATCCACTTTTACATGACAGCTCCCAGCATCCAATATTGACCGGTTTGTAAAAGATTCAAAACATATTTGTACCGAATCCTTGACAGAAAAAGTTATAGACCGACATGGTGGACACATTTCATGATTGTTCCAGTAAGGGAATTTGTATACATATTCTACGTCTCTATCGGCGATACACACTTCAGTCCCACAATACTCCATAACTATAATAGATACATTCAGTTTTAAAAGAGTTAGTTTGATTGAATGATGTCAGTTTTGATTTGTGACCCGGATTTGTTTTAGTTTAATCGATTTATGATTATTGAAAAGCGGTATACTACTATTGCCTTGAATGTTCCTTTGCAAATATAACATGTTTATTTAGGGTGACCAGGTGTAAATGAAATATTTATTAACCTTATTAGACAAGTCAGACTTCGGCTGATTTTTTTTGTATTGGCTAAAAAGGTAAAATTCATGATTTCACCGTACCCACAACAAATAACAAACCAGTTAGTGTTTGCTTTAACTCCATGGTGCACGGTGCTTGGTTGAGAAGGAGCATGTGCAAATTTTCAAAATCGAAGTGAAAGTATTATTTTTATAATTGCATGTACTAACTAAATGCGAAATCCAATGAAATTGACTAAACAGTAATACAATGACTGCAAATTGAAATACTTATTTTCTATAGAATGCAGAATTTGCCAGAAGAAAGGATCTACAAACACAACATTATATCTTAACGAGTTGTATGTTCAGTCATTTCAGATGACATTCAGACCAAATTGTACGTAAACTTGTTTACTAATGTCAATGATCATGGATATCATCAAACAGGCGTAAAACATAATGATGTGAATTGAAGCAACCCTCAAATTTACTCTCTTTGGTCTTCCGTTTCAACAATTGAACTTTCATTATTTTAGATATTTTCAATTTTTGACATTTCTACTTATCATGGTTGTTTGTTTTGTTCACACAATGTTGTCAATATAATGAAATTATATGTAACTGTCATAAAGGAGACAGATTTAGCTAGCTATACAACTAGTTTTCATCCACCATTTTCTACTTAACGAAATGCCTGTACCAAATCAGGAATATGACAGTTGTTTTCCATTCGTTTGATAGGTAAGAGCATTTGATTTTGCGATTTCATAAAGGACTTTCCAATTTTGAATTTCTCTTGGAGTTCCATATTTTTGTTATTCTACTTTTTATTCCGAAATATATTTTTTCATTGTATGTTTTATTTTGTCTTAGATATCATCATGTTGGTAGCTTCCCTTTATTTAGTTTTTTAGATAGTTTAAGGAGGAGATGTGTGCTCACGTGTAACTGATTTTAACCACGCCACATGATGTGCCCCTAACAGGTCAAGGTATCGTAACCATATTTTTTTTCGTAAGTTACTTTTTATTAAAGGAGTTGGTCGTTGGCATTGTGAAATATTGTACTTTATTATATACTTAGTAGCGAATAAACGTAAATGGTATGTGTAATGCAATTGATGATACAATCGTGCTGTATCAGCCATCCGTGAATATATCGATACCAGTCACGGTTGCAAAGGCTTTATTAAAGTCCTTATCTGTATGACGTCACGTAATCGATATCAGTCACGGTTACAAAAGCTTTATCAAGTTCACCCCTAATGTGTATTACGTCATGTGTCGTAAAAAATATATAAGAGAGATGAGTTGTGCTTCAGGTACATTGTTGTACATGTATATAATAAAGTGTATGTGATATGTTTTTTTTCTCAATGTCACACACCGTATCAACCCTCAACCAATATTATTCCTCGAGCAGAGCTCTCGTGATTATATAATAGACTCGGGTTGATACAGGTTTGATATTGAAAAAGCAATATGATATTCTCTATGTATAACATTTGTTGGTAACTTTATTATAATTTGTATGTATCATTTTATAAAAATAGAATAGGATAACATAATGTACTTACGACACTTTTTTAAGGTGAAAAGATATGGAAGCTCTTGGTAGCATGACGTGCACAAACGATAGGTGATATTTGTCATCATCTTGGCATATCTGGCAATGCTGTTATTAAATTCTATTATGGTATGACTAACGTAACGCAAATAAAGTGTTGTTGTGGGGAAATGACCTTTCCATAAATGATTTGAAGAACAGTCAAGTGTCTGTGAAAATCAATAAAACTTTACTATTTGAGACACACATATGATTCATACTGGTAAACCTTATTCACAAATTATAATCCACTTTAAATTAAGTTTTCAATGTAATTAAACATTTGACAGTTATATTGATAGCCTTGTTTTATTTGATATTTGTTTTATTCTTTATCACCCTGCATAACTTGTCAATGTTTAAAGTTCGCTTCGTTAGCTATATTTTTATGAAATGACGTATCTATTTATGTTAGACAAGTCATTTATTTGACGCTATTAATTAATTATTTCCTTTTGTATACATCTCCGCCAATTTTGTCCAACCATTTTACAAAAACATTATATTTTAGTTTCAGTGACGTTGAACTTGAAACGATTTACTCTATAGATTGTAATAAACAATTAATTTCCCCATAGACGACAATGATAGCCTTTTTCGAGATACAGACTTTAGAAACCTTGCTAGAATTGAAGAAAATTATTCAGATAGTGTTTTTGGTCCAAAAAACATAGGTTCCCGTTGCTTTTCTTAACGTAATTTGTACATATCTCCCTTGCCTATCGATTTTGCACTTAAAACACGTGACTCATCCTAGCGTTGAAAAGACATCTCAGTTCTGTTAGGGCTTTGGAAAATATATGATTTTGCCTTTGGTATAATGCAGGGTGCACAAAGTGTCTAATAATAGTAATATAACGGACCCACATATCGACCAATCAGGATTAGCCATACTCTTAATTCTGAATACCATGTTATCTTCATAAAATGGCTGCGCCAATAATTGTAAAATCTGATGGTTTATTGTTACATAAAATCATTGGAATTCAACCCTGTGCCTATGTCATCCATCTGTGTAAGTTGCATTTTAAACAAGTAGATAAACTCCAGTTACAATCCTGAAACCATTTGTGTCGGACACTGAGACGGAAAGACGGATTAAAGGACAGAAGGGCAACCAGTATATGCTGCCGAAAACAAAAGGTGGCATTCTAGATATGTAAATAAACAGCACTTTCTCTAAATATTGAAAGGCTTGGTGTTCAAATTTACAACAAATAAATTTTAAACAAAAAAAGAAACAATTACCTCAAATTTATTGTTACTTGCTGGATCTCCTGAATAAATTTCTACTTTATATTGACAATCAGACAAAGTCTCTAGGGAAACGCTCACTTCTATTCTTTGAAATTCGTGCCCAGTATGATTAAGATTTATCGCATAATAACAGCCATCGATATCAGGAATATATCCGTTCTCATTCCTAGCTAGTATCAACTGAACGTGTTTATTTGGTCGTGTCGACAGGATGTGGTCATTGCATTTTTGATTGGTTAAATCAGCAACTGCAATAATAATCAAATTTTGTGTAACATTCTGCCTATGATATATGTACAGGCAATTCAGAAATTATACTTTCATGACTTTTTTTTAAAAAAGACCCTTAAAATTAACTTTTTCATTATATAATTTGCATTTGATTACACTAAAGTTTCAGACTGCACAGAGATAAGGCTATCCAATATACATGAGTTTCTGGCATATTTATCGTATCTCTGCGTTAATTTAGTGTTAAATCGATGAACAAGTGTACCTTCTACAACTATTCGTAAATATATGTATGTTTAAGCTGATGCCTACCTTGTACTGCAATAGATTTTGTTAACAGTATTGTCAATAACGACACACAAGCATTGATCTACAATGCAAAGATAAAATTTAACCGATTAAATCACTTGTATGAAAGAAACATATTAAAAAATATCGCACATTCATATTATAGAAACCTCTTGATGTTTTGCAAACAACTATCGCATGTATAATTTTTTGACATTGAAATGTTAGTACAACCAAGAATTTTTCAATCCCGATAGTTGCATTGCTTTTTATGTTTTAAATTTAATTGTCTGTGTATTTATCATCTCCCGAAATCGACCGATCGAGATATGTCGATAGAGAGGGGGATTTAAAACCCCAATACTAAGTGTCCTATAGCATGTATAGCTGTCATATTCCTAGATCAAACGTTGCGGTTATCGAGTCAATTTGCGTGAAATACAAGCAAGTAATATGGGTCATCGATAGGTGCTGATGCCACTGTATGCTTCTGTCAATTCAGAAGTAAGTGTTGTGTTGAGATATTCACAAAACTTGTTGAATTTTCCACAAATGTTTTCGGTCCTGTTCACGAGTTGAGTGTTTATGCTCTTAGCCCAACGTTGGACTACGGTGACTTATACATGTGTTATATGTGTTTTTATTTGTTCTGTTTCATTATGTTTAAGTTTTCGTATTTACTTAAAATTTACAAAGTGTATCTAATAATTATGTTCTTCTTTAATTTTTCAAATAAGTAACCTGTTATTTTTTGTATTATACATGTCATACTTCACTTTAAAATGTCTGATGTCGATAGGTTTATACGAGTGACCCATTATAATCTCTTCCATGGCTTATATTCAATTACTTTTCGCGGAAACCTGTTATGGAACCGCAATTTCATCAATTGTAACTTTATCTGTAATCAGTTTTTAATTGACGATTGTAAACTGATCCGGTCAAAGTTGTTAAATAATTCTAGGATATTTTTTTATGAGGAACTGTAGAAGACAGTCTGAATGTCCGCTACAGTAAATGAATGATGCAGCTGTGTTTGCACTTTAATCACTCTCATTACAAGCCGTATATATTTTATGACTAAGGTTTTCTTATATATCCTATCCCTATAGTTTTGTGGTATAATGATGTATGTTACATTCATGTTGTTAAGGAAGTGTTGAAGGTGGCTGTCAAAGGATGAGAATGTCGAGAGTTCAGTAGGCATGGACGTGATTTTGTATAACCATGCAATGATAGTAATGTGTATAAGTACATGAAGTATATGAACTTGTGTATAATAAATATGCATAATACATGTGTTTTATAAAACCAGTGATACTAGCTAGGAATGAGAACTTCTTACTAACTCACTAACTCACTTAATTGACACAAATCAATTAGAAAGTTACGTCGATGTGCTATTTAAACGGTAATAATAATATTAATAATAATAATAATAATAATAATAATAATAATAACAATAATAATAATAATAATAATAATAATAATAACAATAATAATAATAATAATAATAATAATAATAATAAAAATAATAATAATAATAATACTAATAATAATAATAATCAGCATTCAAAGTGGGTAACCAAACTATTTGTCACTAATCATACTGGGAGCCCTCATGAAGAAAGTACAAACATAATATATAGAAGCACACACAAATAAACAATAACAACAATCAAGTAGTATATATACATAAGTTTATATCATTCATAGTGGTCATGTTAATTTTCAATAATATATCTCTGTGTGGCTTGACGGACTTTGAAGCTTTTAGATGTAAATAAACATAAGGATTTTGACAAACATGGTTCGAATGCAGAGATATCTAATCACTTAGAAACCAAAATGAACTACTAAAAATGTGAGTGACCCCAAAAACAACGCCTACTGTTTTTGTTTATTGACGAAACACTTTATCACAAAATGTGTGTGTATCTCCTTCCGTTGGAGGACAAACAATGGTGACATGCATAAAGGAGTAGGTCCGGTAAGGGCCGATTTTGGCCTCAAAATTCAGGTTCATCTGATGAAAGATTTTGGACACTTTTTAAACACTTAAGTGTCTACTTCAGTCGATTCAATTCGTTTATGTGAAAGATTTGAACTGATTTAGTCATTAAAGACGCTCAAATTCAAGCATAAGTATGAAAAATCTATCAAATATGTCATAATATGTCACTTTTCAGATGGTTTTTGTCAAAAATGAAAGTGGCCGCATCCGTGTTCATTCTCAACCTTTATATATGTTATGTATTATCATCAAATACAACTAACATTTAAATGTTAAGAATGAACACAAATGCGGCCACTTCCATTTCAGACGGAAACCGTCTAAAAATTAACCAAAATGCCAAAATTTCGAAGATTTCAGTAATTTAGCATGACTTAATGATGCTAGTACCCGATACATGTGCATTGTATTGTCAAAACAGCCCATATTTATGTAACAGAAGTATTCTTCTTTCCAATAAATAGCTGAAAATTTACATTTTAACAATTTTGTAAAACTGCTATATTTTGGGGCCAAAAAGGGCTCTTACTGGGCCTACTCCTTTACGCCCATTATAATTCTATAAACATTCTTTTTTACTGTCTGAAGTGGACATATTCAGTCTCTATCGACATTGTTGTTTCGATCGTTAAATAATTGAAATTAATAAAAGAGCTTACATTATGAAGGATCAACGTTGTAAAATTGCATATATTTGTTTTTTGATGCAAAGATGTAATCAAGTACGGAAAATTAGATCAAATCGATATAAACATTAATCAAGCGAAATGTTATGAAATACAACTTGAAACAGTCATACCTGAGAGTATTAAAAAAATTACCGGCTATCCTATTAGTATTAGGATGGAAACCTTTTCCATCTAAACCATACCAACCAATTTCATTTACGGCCATATATACAGTTATTTACTCGAGACATTTACCGGCTTGCCACACATGACTTCAAAGTCACTCACAAAAGGAGACCAATATTTTGAAAAATGGAAATGTGAATATTATAGGGGACAATTTTAAGGTTTCAGAGTATGCCTTGCGAATAAAACCAGCGAAAAAAATCGAACAAAAATCCAACAAAAATCCAACAAAAATAACTGAAGCAGCATATCTATATCATAAATCTAGACCATCGAAGCTGCGAACTTTTTTTTATCTCAGGACACAGAACCAAAGAACCATTAACCTTGAGTCAAAACAGTCTTTTACTTTGAACATGAATATAATGCTTTAAAAACTGTCAAGTGCACTATGTGGGCACCTTTTTTACCTCTCAATATGAAGCTTACCTCTCAATAAGAATAATGTTTGCATTGAAGAAGAATGAATAGATCAACTGGAAAATTTAATTTAGATTGTATTAAATAATCTACGTGACGAAAAAAAAAAACAACAGTAACCTACAGCTTCCTACATGCTATCAATAACCTCACTTCAATCAGAATCTGATACATGGAAATCAAATAGATGGTTCCGGATCACCGCCTCAACAGCAAAACTAGCCAGCAATCTTTGAAGCATCTTAAACACTGAAACACAGTATTGTGATGGTACCAAACGTATACTATTTAACTTTATTTCATATAATATTTTAATTTTACATACATTTCCTATACCAGACACCGTTTGAAAGTGAATAGCAAGCCAGAGCAGATTATTTAAAACATATGGCAGGAAAAATACAAGACGTTCGAGTCATAAAAACAGGATTCTCGATAAAGGAATTTTTGCAAGAAATCGAAAGGTCCCCTGATGATCTTATTGTTTATCCAGAAAAAGATCAGAAATATGATCTTCTTAAAATTAAATGTTCAAAACTTTTTCGTTAAGTGGCACCGTTTGAATTGGTTTTGGCATTAAGAGAAAACAAAATATTGAATAGTAAGCTATATTCCGCTTGCCTCTCTCGTTTAACATCCGAGATTGCTTCCTTAGAGCTAAAAACACACCATGCCTACTTTTTTCACTCCAGCTAGCAGTTATAGGACTCGAAAGACGTGACCCTTTGAGAACAAGTTATTGCTCTTGAGGTTTTTGAAAATTGGGTACCAAAGAAACTGTTCCCTGTTATTTTAACAGACATTAATATGCCAATATATTTCAAGTCTAAAAATAGATTATATATTGTTAAATCATAGTAAATGTACATAATAAAATTAAACAAATTAATAATGGAGACACAGGTATAGTTTTTATATTGATACCACCACATATATATATATATATATATATATATAAATGTTCAAAGTTTGTTCTTAGTCGATTAAAGGTTTAATAACTATTACAAGATAACTTGTACCAAATACCAATTGATTGGAAATTGAAGACATTAACACAGGTAATTTCCATTTATTCACACTTTCTTTGACGCGTTCAATATGTATACTAGCCTTGGCTATTTTATATTCTTCTTGGGAGGTATTTTTTTCTCTATCCTAGAAATAGTGGTTTACTCAAGGAAGCTTGGCGTCTGAGTGGAAGGTCTTCAATTGTAAATCCCTTATCTACAAGAACCGAATCACCTGGATTTCTATAGTTTAAAGTTCCATTCAACTCAACAATTGCTCTACGACTTACCGAGTCCTCAAATAAGCCTGAGACATAAACAATTGATCTGTAAGGTGCTGTGCCAGTAAAACATTTATAAGTATAGTTGTTTTTGTATGAAGATTACAAATGTCCTCGTCTTTTGAAATATCTTGGTACTGGTAAATAAAATCAGTGGAATCTATTGTCTATCCTTAAAAGTTAAAAATACTTTTGGTAATTCAACTTTAGAATGCTGTCGTCCTGGAAACATGTCTTGTGCCATTGATATGGTGAAGCTGAATCCATGTTAACAAAAGCAATTCGTAAATTTTTGAAATAGTATCAATACTGTAACCCCTTCTAAGTCTTAAAAAGGTCAGAAATAACTCATCTTTTTGTTTCAAGATTTTTATGACCTTTCCTTAAACCTTCTTTTGAATCATCTTTTTCATCACAGTATATTAAAATGTAAACACTAGAGCCAAGAAAGTTAAATAAAATGCAAAACTAAGCATATATCAATCCTAAGAATAATTTCATATTAGCATCATTGTCTTTGATCGTCGTCATTACGCAAAGGGTGGTGTCATTTTGTTCATTTGTTTGATCATTCTTACTACTTTCACTATTTCTCATTTGTTTTTTTGTTTTTTTTGGTTTTTTTTTTAAATCTTGTTTTCGATTATTGCATTTCCAATTTTTTTTACATATATTGTTTGCCCTTCATTTGTCGGTATACACTCTGTTTGTGACGATGAATCTGCAGATGCAGAAAATTGCTTCCTGAAATATAAAATATATATTAAATGTAGTTTAATAACCTTCAACATTGTACATGTACATAAAAATAACATATCATGTTTTTTTTAATTGCTTCATTTACAAAATGTAGTATTGGTAACTTGATAACTGATGTTTATATATGAATTGTTGTTAACTGAAATTGAAAAAAAATGTTAAGCTTAAATTTACACATGTTTAAATCTAATAAATTATGCCACTTAATTTTAGAATGCTAGCCACAAAATGTGTGCAGAGGGAAGATATCAGCATCATTTATTATCAAGTGTTCTATATTATTATATGTTCGAAATTCATCAATTAAAATTTATAAATCATATTTTCATTTGTTTTCGGTTGTGTCGAATGATGTTTAAACCTCCCAAGACTAACCTTGTCTGTAAAAAATATATTTAGAATAGATAAATCAATGGACAGGTCAATGAAACCGTCAGCAGCGTTTTTTATATCCGTTTTTGAAATTTTTATTAGCTTTCTGCTAGGTGAAGATGTTTTCCTTATGCATTCAATCCTTTTTTTTTACCGGTGAAAAATTAAATGTATAAATAGTTTTGTTGGCAATCATACAACATGTTCTCTTTTATATTAAAAATTTGACTTAAATATACATGTAACTCACTATTACAAATAACAAGGAATGTTTGCAGTTAACATCACATTCTGAAGAAAAACAAATATTGAGCTAATCTAAAAATTCATTAGCTTTACATGTAAATACCAACACAAAATGTAATTTGAATAAAAGAAGAATGCACTAAAACTAACCTGTTCATCGGTCTCTCAAAGTGCTGGGATTGGATCAGCATTTTCAGCCGTAGGACTATATTATCATGCCAAATACTTGCTGCATATATATGTAGGTCTTTTGATTTTATTCATGTTAAAATCATCATCCGGTCGATCACTAGCTTTGATCCAGTTTAGACGGGCTTTTCCACGAGTTGTCGGTTTCGGTAAAAGATGAAAAACACATCATTCGTGTATTCTCCATGTCTGTACCTAGTATCACTATTACGTTTTCTATACAAACAATGCCTATTTCCTACAGGTTTTGATTGATTTGGTAATTATGCCATCGAATTAGTCAGAAAGTAATATAAAAATATCAATGGAATTTACCTCATGCAAAGCGTTGTTTACAAATTGCTTGCATGACATCCGTGAACTTTATCTGTGATGTAATTCTTAAAATAACTTTGTAATCTATTATTAGTTCAACCGATCTTTGCTAATGCTGTTGAAACTTTTAACTGTATAATGGGAAGGTCAATACACAACAGAATAAATAAACGTTTACAAAGTATGTGTCAGACTATTGATTAAAGCAGTTTCTTGATACAAATATATTACAAACGGCTTTCATTTATCTAAAATCATCATGCGAAAAAAGATAACTGACTTACATATAGAAAAAACATGTTGTTCCAATAACATATTATTAATTATTATATATCGTCATAATGGATTACTTCAGTCAGTCTACAAATAAGTGATTATAATACTCGGTTATCATCCGGAAAAGATCATAAAAAACACGCGGAATCCGCATTAGAAATTGGAAATGAGATGGGTAAATACAAAATTAGTATTAGCAGTTACATAATATGATGTCATTTGCCATAGGCGTAAACAAATGTTTAAGGCTTTTTTTGTTTAATTTTTTAAAATAAGCTTTACGTATTTGATGAGAATTTATTGTTGTTCTTGATTGTCCGTATGCGTGATTTAGATATTTGTTTGTGTTTCGATTTTTGGCATGCCTTAAATATTTTATTTGGTGCTCAATATACCTTTTTTTTCGTAATTTTAATTACGAATTCGTTAACTAGTGAATGATTGTTTTCTTGAAGCTAAAATGGATATGTTAACTAAATTAAATCAACTGAAGTATAATTATAATGTTCAGTTAAAATAATTATTCATACATGTATTTTTATTTAAGGATATTACTCTTACGAAACGATATTTGCCATGCAGAATATCAAACAATGATAAATTGGTAAATATATGTAAATAAGATGAAATTGATCGCAGAGCAAATGCTTATGGTCGTAGGTAAATTGGTTAATAATATAATTAACAGGTCATTTTCTCCCGCTTGATAGAAAGAATGAACAATCATTTAGTCAGAGGGTGTAAACTCATCACGAGGATCATCCGTCTGGCTTTATTGATTACACAAATACATGTAAATAGACATGCCCAGTCGAAGGGCGGAAGTTTTTTTTATTGTACCAGAGCGTGGACTCGTTTAAAGGCATCAAAACTTTCAAACACCATTCTGGCATTAATTAATTTGTGTTACAGCCAGAAAGAAATAGGTCTCAGAGACCATATTTCTACAAACATCCGTTTCCAACCTTGACTGAATTCAGAAATACATACGTGAATATGCATTTGGTATTTAGATCTGCCGTAACAATTCCAGATAAAAAGAATTCAATATCAATATGTTTTCTTCTACATAATATGGAATATGCTAAGCTTGTAGTTTGAGCCAAAATAACAAAAGAAAGATAATACATTGATATACATGCATACTTTAATGAAACATTTCATTTCACTATAAGCATTTGGCGGTTAAGGTCGCGGTACTGCATAACTGTTATTTTTTATTAAAATATAGAATATGGGCAGGACATTTGAAGAAACTAAGGTTTCAACTCCCTCAGGCAAAGTTGACCTTAGATGAATTTGGCTATTTGTTTTAGGTATTTTTGTCATATAGCTCTTCAACTGTTTCGGTACTTATACATCCCTCGGATTTCAAATGTTTGGCATTGAGCGTTCCTGATGAAGGTAAATCCAGAAAAGCGCGTCGGACGCATGAAATTATTAAACGCACTGAAAACCTAAATTAGTCAATTTGACCAATTTAATTGGTCATTTTGACTGTCCTCTAGATGACAATGCACTTTAATCATTTTGACTATGCTCTTAGTCGTTTGACTAGATGGTTAGTCACATTTGACTGAGAAGGGTGGTAATTATGACTATGTTAGGAAGTCAAAATGACTATATGGTATACTCGTTATGACGAATTGGATTGTTCAATTGACTATGCACATTTGTCAGTTTGACAATTGAATGCAGTCCATATGACTTATTGAAATGGTCGAAAGTGACCATGTTGGTTAGTCAACATGATTACTGTGAATAGTCACGACTGTTAGACTGTTATTTTAATTTGTGTTGTGTTTTTTGTTCTACCATTTGACTTTGTGTGTGTTTCTATCCGTGCTGTACTTTTGTGTTTCATTTCTTCTGTTATTATACTTTATGTTGTTTCTCTTCCATAGGATTGACAAATACATCTGGAATATAATATCATTAAAAATACCACAGCAGCAGTACTAACAATGACAACAGTATAAAACCACAAAGTGTTCAATGTTCAAAACCTTCCTATATCTTAAGTTTCCATGTGTTACCATTACTCAGTGACATATATTAAAAGTCTAAAAACCAAATAAAGAAAATGTATTTATTATAAACTCATTGTTACATACATTATGATATCCCAACTTAAATATATATTTTATACATTTTCAGTATGTCAGAATTTGAAGTGTTTATTTAAGATATTTTGTCGGTATCAACTCTGCATGTGTCTGTGTAATATTCTCTCTGGTCAAAAATCTCTCAGCTGTGCCCATACAAATAGCAATGTCTTCATTTGCTGAAAAATATAATTATATCATTTTAGAAGCTAAAATATAACAATAAACAGTTATATCAGTCATGTTAAAAGTTAAAAGAAAAAAACAAATTTTAAAATCTTTGATCTAGTGATTTAGTCACTCATCTTATACAATTATTTTGTAATGTAAGCACCGGGATCTTGACAGCCACCCATCCTATATCACAACATTGTAATGTAAGCACCAGGATCTTGACAGCCACCCATCTTATACCACAACATTGTAATGTAAGCACCAGGATCTTGACAGCCACCCATCTTATACCACAACATTGTAATGTAAGCACCGGGATCTTGACAGCCACCCATCTTATACCACAACATTGTGATGTAAGCACCAGGATCTTGACAGCCACCAATCTTATAACACAACATTGTAATGTAAGCACCAGGATCTTGACAGCCACCCATCCTATATCACAGCATTGTAATGTAAGCACCAGGATCTTGACAGCCACCCTGAGGTTTTTTTAATTTATTGTTGTGAATATCGATTGCAGTGTTTATTTTTAACAGTTTTTGGTCAGATGAAAAAAAAGATATCGCTAAATACTCTTTTCAATCGACAATACGTTGAATGTGTATCAAAATTGATATCCCGTATACATATCTCCCCCTTTTTTATTGTCATTACGTCAACATGTGCCGATATAACATTCATTACACTTCTTATTCTTTAGATGCATTTTTGTAAGTTAGAATTAAAACATATAAACATAATACTTACTTTAAACAATTGGTTAAATTGACAAAAACAGTTTCGTGCCTCCTGGTTTGTTTACATCTACACGATCTAGGGAACAAAGGGAACGCGAAAGAGTGCGCGTGAAAACCGATACTCTACACCACGTGGTGCTGTGACCACTAACATAGTCAAATTGACCGTGCAGGCAGTCACAATGACTTGATTAGTAGTCATATATGCTGTTGACTACCTTTCGGCTAATATTTGACTAACTGAATAGTCATAGTGACTAATTTAAATTTTCAGTGCGTGTTGTTTTCAATTTTTTGATACATGAGGCAGGGAAAACAGTTGCTTTTCATTTTATGCCGTGTTCTTTATAATAAGATTGACAATAAATACATAATTATGTAGCTTTCTCTTTTCTCTCTCTCTCCCTCTTATACCATTGTTGTTGATTAATAAAACTAAACTCTAGTGTGAAGTGTATATACAAAGGTTTCCTTTTGATGACGTGTCTTCGCTTTCAACATTTTTAGCAGCAGCAGTAGTATCGAGGGGACGGTTACAGGAAGCGTTGATTGAAAATAAAAATTTTCAGATGAATAAAGGTGTGTCAAATACATCTTTACTTCATTCTTAAAACTGGAAGGTAAGCAAAATCAACTCTTCGTAAATTTTGCGGACGCCATCACTGTTAGTCGACCGTTATGGAATTTCCGTTTCACAGATGATAGCGGATATGTTCCTAATGTTGTAACTACAATCCCGTCTCCTTTTTACGCATGTGACCTACCGAATTTGACTTGTTACCGGGTTTGTACTAACATGAGCAACACGATGGGTGCCACATGTGGAGCAGGATCTGCTAACCCTTTCGGAGCTCCTGAGATCAGACAAAAACATTGTTTAGGCCCAACTCTCTGTTATATTGGCTCATTTGTCTCTATTCTGGAAACCCCATTCCGTTCCTCCTACACTTTATGCACATATTAACAGTTATTTAACATTTTATCAATGAAGTGAAAACCATTGTGATCAAAACTGTATACGGGCGCATGCTTGTCAAAGAAAAGAAGTGAATTTGTCGTTTATGAATAATACATGTAATACAAAGTCATTTTGTTTCTTTCATTCTAATATCATGTTCTCAATTTTATGACGACGGTAAAGCTTAATTATCAGTATACACTTATTAGATTATATTTCAAAATAAGACGATGTGGTGTGATTGCCAATGAGACAACTCTCCACCAGTGACCAAATGATGTAAAAGTTAAACACTGTAAGTCACCATACGGCCTTCAACAATGAGCAAAACTCATACCGTAGAAACCATATGCTCATGAAATACATATTTACATTAATAGATGTATGTTTTGTCCTCTTGAAGGCATTGAAAGTGTGTGTAAACTTTACACTGATCATACTAGCTTGAAATCGGAAAATGCAAAGGATTAATCTTTAAACCAGCCGATCAAAAAAAAAAAAAAAAAAAAAAAAATCAGGAATTTTCCACCATTGGACGTCAGCAGTATTATATAAGATAATTGAATATTAAGGTCAGGAATTTTTTTCCATAATATAGAAAGGAAATACTTTCCTACAACGAAAGGTCAAGGTACTTATTTCCTGCATATATGGGACTGAATATTCATTTTCTTCCAGTCTATGTAAATATTATTAATTTTAAGTTAATATTTTATATTCTTGATACTCATTCTCACTATCATCCTGCACTCCAAACTCCCGATAACCGATTGAGGTATTCTCACAAATCGATACTTATTTACGTGCATTGGTATATGTTGTTTGTATCATTACCTTGCCTCTTTTATACTAACAGGTACGATTGAGCGGGAAAGAAGTATCCGTTTTCTTAGTGATGCGAACAACAGTACCAAAATTAACTGGTTTAGCCAGGAATGATTGATCATTTCAAACTAATCAGATTTATATAATATTACCAGTATATGTGCCAGTAAACTAATTTTTCATTAATAGGTTAATGGTTTCATAGTTCGTGCAGTTGGACATATTATTTTATTGTTGCATTAACATATGAGGGTATGGATGGGGTCTTAATTTCCGTATTCTTTACATTTGGAGGCATTTTTCTTCATCTTTAAATATGATTTCTTCTTTTTGTACGTCCCTTAATTCTTACTCAGAATTGTATTCCCTTATTCTTTTATTTTCACCAGTTATTTTTTACACTTTTGCACCCAATTTTTCTCTGTTCTTTATATTTTTTTGCTTTTTTTCTCTAATCATAAATTTATTTGTCCTTTAATCTCTATTCTGTAAACCCCATCCAGCCCCTCACATGTGAAAGTACTTAATTGAAAGTATAATGTATACACACTACATTTCTTTATTAATCCGTACTATATACAGTTATATTCGTAATATAGTTTTTCCATGCACTCTGTTACACACTTTAAGTAGTGTATTTTATAAAAAAAAAAAACAACCGTCTTATATGTTAAGATAGCATACCGTCTTATGTATTAAAAAAACACACCGTCTAATTTTTTACTATAACACACCGTTTTATGTATTAAGATACCGCACCGTCTTATGTATTAAGATAACTCACTGCACATGCAGGAGAAGCAATAATTAAAGTAGTGAATCATAAGAAATAGTTCTGAACTTACCAAAACACTTTAGTAAGTCTTATCATGCTTATAGTCTAGATGTAAGCGCCCAGGAAGCTTGTTAATAGGAAGCTTAAGTCTCATATGAAAACACCATACAAAATCAAAAAGAAATGTGTTTGTTTTAAATATAGATGATAATTGTAAACATACACCAAAGGAGTGATACAAATTAGTGTTTATTTTGACAGTTAGATTTTCCTACAAAATAAGGGCCTCGGTTCACGAGTTTTCTTAGTAGTTCAATTATTGCAGCACTGAGATTGTGAGTTCGAACCCTGCACGTGGCAGGTGTGTACATGTACGACTCCATTATTCATAAACTAGAAGTGTCGATTTTCATTGCCGAAAGTCAGTGATTTCTCCGAACACACCAGGACATCTTCTTCTTCAATATTAATTAAAAAAAAAAATCTGGTAATATCGAATACAATTCATATACTTACTAAATAATAGCAAATCGATCTGATCGTATGTAACGATGTACCCTTATTGTACTCACTGAAAAAAGCAAGTGTTGGATAACAATGATAACACATGTTGATCAGTTTATTTCCCCACGGTTAGGTCCACGTTTTGAGGTTTTTTATTTCATCGTACAGGTTAAAACATGGTAATGTAAACTTGTACTTCAAACTAGAATTTAGTTTTATTAATCAGCAACAATGGTCTTTAATTATATTTGAAAACAAAAGATTTTAGATTTATTTTATTTTAAATTTATTTTATTTTAAATCAAGCTTTTTTAATCGTACTACAGTTACATGAGTTACCATGTTATATTGGACTTTTTGAAAAACTGGTCCGGGTAAAAGAAAAGATGTGATATTGAAAGAAGGCAGATAGGATCGTTAAGACTGACGTTTTAATTTTATTTCAGCACTGTTATTCATTAAAAAAAATAACACATATATGTATAACATGTATAATGTTTAGGAAATGTAATGTAAACTTTCTGTTTTAATGTTTTACCATACCCTCACAGTATTATGGAACCATAACATACTATAAAACTAGTGGCATTTGATTCATACATATATTGTTTATGCTTGTCAAACATGTTTCAGCTTGTTATTATTAACGTGACTTATATATATAACTTGTAGCACACTTCTAGTTTAATTGTCAATTGTTAAAAAATTGAAAACACCAAGGTGACATTAGAAAAAAAAACATAAGTTCTTTCTTGTCACGTCACGCACACGCAATATTGTTCTATTGGAACTAATACATGGCTTTGATCGCAAAGAGAAAGAATAGCGTCATATTAGAATTACATCTCATTATATGAAACTTTCGACGTTTTTTTTTATATATTTAGTGTCTCAAAATTTTCATATCCTATCAAGTGCATTTACTTTTCAGGGTTTTCACTCAGTTGCATAGTATTTACAGGCGTCCTCGTATGATGGCGGTAATTTCTCGTGCGAATATGATGGCTGCTTATGTGCTGGTGGAGGCCGAACCGGTCTGCTACTGTTCCCCGGTATAGTAATGTGTTGCTGGGGTTGATGTATTTCTACATGTGAAGACGATGCAAGATCACCTGTTTCTCTTGAGGAATATGTTGTATTTGTGATCTGCATATCATACTGAGGACTTTGTGAAATGAAGGTTGAATGTTCTCTAGGTTCTGTATTTCTTCTATTCCTCGTTGCTAGAAACAAAAGTTTATGTTAGTTATGTTAAAAGAAATCAAAACTCTTTTATTTTCAGAAGCCTTTTGGGAATACCTAGACAACAAGACATTGTAAACAACAAACCAACGTTCGTTTGACAAAAGTATAACACATTGAAACCTAAGGCAACATTTTCACCTTTCATTCATAAAGAGTTTTAAAGATAATAAAATAAGTAAAAATCGTCATTTACGAAAAACAATTTTTTGAGAAGTCGATTCACAATAATTTTGTTTGTGTTTACCTGTTTCTAGTTATTATCTTGCTGATCATTGTAATGTTAATATTTGTGCTTTATCAATTTAAAAAAAATATAACCAAAAACGGAAAAGGTAACCAACTGTAATTTTAGGAGAAAACTCCCATACGGAATCCATTGACAGCATAAAATAAGCCGAAATATACAAAAAATGACACTCAAAGCTCATTAGTCGAAGAAACTGACAACGCCATGTCAAAATACGAAAAACGACAAATAAACAAACACCAGTCTAAAAATTAATTCATAAAAAAGTTAAATACAGAGCAACACAAAAAAACGGGGTGATCTCATGCGCTAAGAAATCATATGTAGATCCTGCTACACATGTGGTTCTCGTTGTTTTGCTCATGTCAGGAAATTCGGTGATACGTATCATTCGATGATATCACATTTGAAGAAAAGAAGACGAGATTCTGGATGAGACAATTGAAGCATATACGTGATCATCTTGGAATCCAGATATTCAATAACGGTCAACCATCTCGTGATAGACTAACCCAACACAATAGACAGGGATTGAGTTCAGGTACTCCGGGACGGTAAGCAGATCTGACTGCTGTTCTGGTTTTTGTGTAAGTCTCATCATCATCATCATCATCATCATCATCATCATCATCATCATCATCATCATCATCATCATCATCATCATCATCATCTTTTACATTTAAATCTAAAAAACATGTACCAACATATCAAAACCACGACACACGACATCAATGTAAAGAGAAGTATCAGTGTATCCCTCGTACTCAATGAGGAGTCCTTATCATTGTCACTAAAATCTTTTGTCCATGAAGACCATTCTGTAAAATAAAGTAAAATAAAATTGAGAATGGAAATGGGGAATATGTCAAAGAGACAACAACCCGACCAAAGAGAAGACAACAAACCAATTTGAAAGTACAATAAAATTCAGGACTCAATAAGGGATAAGCATAACTAAACTACCCTTGAAGATGCGCCACTTGTACTAAATGTACGTTTTAATGGCTGTTTATTGTTTTAAAAAAACTATGGAAACCAGAAAGAACTATCACCAATAATTGATTATCAAATTTTATATTTGAAATAGTATTTACAAACACCAACACTTTGTCATCAGTTAATGATGATTTATTTGTTAAGCCATAGTACAGATCTATGCCATTTGGACATATAAAAAAAGTTGAAGTCTTTTTGCCAATGCAGAAAACTATCCAAAAGAGACCAACCGAAGTAAATGGAATCAATTATAGATCATCATGCGGTCTTTAACAACGAGCAAAACCCAGATCGTAATGTAACTATTAAGGGTCCCGAAATTCAAACGAAAAGAAAACTACCCCAAAACAAACGGCCTTACAAAACATTAAACTAGAAACAAATATGACACGCATAATCAATGACCATCATTGAATTACAGGTTCCCCAATCGACAGACAAGTTAAAGAGCTGTTACATCTATCCCGGAGCAGTGGCGCAGTAGCACAACATAAAAAGATGATGTAAGTTCAGAAGGAAAAGGTTTGGCTCATCAGTTCGACACGAATCACAAACAAAATGCTATCTAAGAGCACTCGCTGTTACTGAAAGCTAGTTCAAATGCTATTGATACAAACTAAAAAAATATATTTTTCCAGACTTAAATATCAATCTGTACAAAACAGATTTAATTTAAGGACGCCATAAACCGTCTGAAAAAAAGCAAGATACTGTGCCATTCGAACGATTAGAATCGACAGAAGGAATGACTATGAGTGTTTATAACTGTATATATCAGTGCATATTCAGTTATGTATCAAAGTAATAATAACAATATCAATGTTAATAATGATACAGACAATAGTTCGAGACCTTAAAACAGTGTCACGTTGATTAAAATTGAGAATAAGTTTATCTAAGGATGAAAACGTTCTTGCACATTATAATAATGTATCAAACAACACCGACGTAACATTTAGTATGTGATTATCCGCTTATTAAAATACTCCAAACGTAGAGCTTAACTTCCAAATCGAATCTTTGTATCTATAAATAAATGCAGTCATAGTTTTAAGTAATAATTGTGGTAACGAAATCCCGGATTTAATAATTTACCAGGTATACTAGATTACGGTCATTGAAACCTAAAACGTCGTTCTGTGTTGTTGTAACACCGCTGTTTAATGGAATGAGGAAAGCAGAGCGCTCACAAACATGTTAAACGCCCTCAAATTCTTATACATTGTAATGCCTGTTCAAGCACAGAACTGGCATTTGAGTGGTTGTCGCTAGTTGGTTTCTGTCATATTTGTTTTCGTTCGTGGTGTTGTAAACATGAAATCGTTAGTTTTCTCTTTGATTTATTTCCCATTTTGCTGTACTAGGAAATGTCATTGCTTACTTTATACGGGTGGTTTTTATTCGCATTGATGAAGCCCGTGACATGTAAATGTTTACATATTTGTCCTTTAAACGTCATACCACATTGCATAAGAGCAAATTTGATAATTCAATCACTTATTTTTTTTGTTTGTGTCGCTAACATTTACATGCCTTTTCATAATAATATTAGATGTTGCATATTTTGAACTGATAACTTTATTTGTAATTTTTATTTTTTGCGCACCTTTTAAGTTTAGTTTTACAAATTATTCGGGAAGTTGTGATTAACAAGATAAATTACATTTATATATAAAATGAAAAACACCAGCCACTAACAACTCAACAAATCATAATCAAGACTGTACGAAATTTATAAACAAGTTTATAATTTGACCAGAATTTAAGGTGAGCTATTTCAAAACATCACTAGAAATATAACAAAGGTTCCAACCAATAAAGCAAAGAGACCAAGTCTCTAAATTTGATTTATATAAGTTACATTTATATAGAGGACGACCCTAAATGTCAACGCATGCTCCATTAAATATGCTAGTCATTTCCGCCTAGAATGTCGGCTATGTTACAATGAAAGGCATTGATTAGTTGTTGCTTATTTAACGAGAAAACTTTTTCATACATATTCAACATGTTCAGGACGAGAATAAATTTACAGCTTATACAATAGGTGAGTTCTGCACAATGATTCGACTGGGATTAAAGCCGGGAAATTTTAACTACCATTAAAAAGGGACATACTATTAAGATAAACAAGAAAACCTGGGGGAATCGCACGGACTCTAAAATTAGTAAGAACTAATGAGTCGATAGAGTAAGCGTATCTGATATGCAAGCATTACCCAACAATCAGACCATTCTTAGTCAAAATGTTCCAATAGGGAATATGATGAAATGGTTATTTACAGATTAGACGACTATTCTGAAATTTCAAAATCACTAAGCGTGCAAATATGTCAACAATGAATTATTACACATGCATATCATCCCTTTATTAGGGACAACAATTTGGCACTCCATTCATTAACATCGCGTTTGAAAATACCATTAATTTAGTTTTTTATTTTTTTTTTTTTTTTTTTTTTTTATTTTTGCTTAAAAGACATGTCTGTTTACCTTACTTAACTGATATATTTTCCACGCTAAAATACTGGTGACAAATCGTCTGTCAGACAGTGAAGGACGATAGAAACGCAGTTATCATGTGCAACAAGTACCGACACATTAACATCATAGGCCTTCCTATAAGTAGAGGAATGTTAATGGTGTTGCAAACAAAGTATATCCGTTTGTGTCAAAAGTCAAAACCTTACCTCTTCGATTAGAACTTGCCATTGGACATAAGTTAGAATCTCTGTTTTCTGGAATAATTCGAATTTTAACATCACATCTTGGTGTCGTTAGGCAATTCCATCTTGAACCATCCCGACATCCTGGTGAATGTATGCAATTCCAACTGGAATCTTCACCAAAAGTAAATGTAACACTTTTGTTTTTTACATTCCAAGGAAGACACCATTTTTTCATCAAACTGTTTTTTAAAAACTATAAAGAAATGCAATATTTTGGTGATGAATATTGTCCAATAAAGATTATGTAATTTGTGAAAATTGCTCATTTATAGATGTCGCATTTCAATAACCAGGTTAATATAGTCGGACGCTAGTATCAACTGTTGACGGTTGAAAACTATGTGAAAGGGGAGTATTTATACGGGAAGGTACCGCGAATAATAATATAACACATATAATAAAAATGTACATCATTTAAATGCCGCTTCATTTGTTATTCTTCACCTTTTCTTAGCTGCAGAAACGTCATTATAAAATAACATGAAATTTCTCACCTTTCCTGGTCTACTCAGCCCCTCGACTAAAACATGGATGCATTTTCAAACTATACTTATGTTGATTTTAATTTTAAAAAAGCACAATCAAAACAAAATACAGATCTAGTGTCCCCGGTTTTCTTGGACGGATCTGACAACACTCCGTTCTTTTTCTTTGTTCTTTCAATTAGTACATCAGCCAATGAATAATCAGCATAATCAGCCTTTAAATTTTTCAAGATGTGTATCAGACAGACAAAAGCAGAGGATCGCCTCCCTTAAATCCGCAACTGCATATCGTATCAACCGAGATATTGAACTACTATCTAAAGCATAACTCTTAATGAACTCTATATGCATTTTCATTTGTATATTATATAAAAGTTTGTCATAGTCAATCATGAACTACAAATGTTTGTAACTGCAAATTGGATTTCACGCACTTAAACTTTTTTATTTATTGTTGGTTTTCATTTTTTTTTAGACTCTCGCTCTAAATCAAATGATGAAACCTTTATATGTTACGCTTTGCAATGGGTCACCTGTCACATGTATGTTATCTTATGGTAGTAATAAATTGTTTAACTTAAATATCATATTATTACCATTGCTGGATGGTCATCAATTTCCACTTTGACATGACAGCTCCCTGCATCCCATATCAACCGGTATGTAAATGATTCAAAACATATTTGTACTGAATTTTTGACAGAAAAAGTAATAGACCGACATGGTGGACACATTCTATGATTGTTCCTGTCTGGGAACGTGTATACATATTCTTCATCTTCATCGGCGACACAAACTTCACTCCCACAATACTCCATAACTGTAATAGATATACAATTGATAATGGAAATGGGGGAATGTGTCAAAGAGACAACAATCTGACCAAAGCAGAAAACAGCCGAAGGCCACCAATGGATTTTCAACACAGCGAGAAAATCCGCACCCAGAGGCGGGCTCCAGCTGGCCCCTAAACAAAAAATGTGTACTTGTTCAGTGAAAATGGACGTCTCACTAAACTCCAAAACATATAAATGAACTAAATTTATAAAAAAAAAACATACAAGATTAACAAAGCCAGAGGCTCCTGACTTGGGACAGGCGCAAAAATGCGGCGGAGTTAAACATGTTTTGTGAGATCTCAACCATCTCACTATACCTCTAGTCAATGTAGAATAAACAAACACACAGCAATACGCACAGTAAAACTCAGTTTAAAATAAGTCCGAGTCCGATGTCAGAATAGGTAACAAAAGAAACTAAGCAAAATGACAATGATACATAAATTAACAAAGGACTACTGACATGTCAGATCCAGACCTCATTTAAACTGATTGAAAGATTATGTCTTCATCAAATGAAAATCAAGCACAATCCCTCCCGTTAGGGGTTTAGTATCATACCATCATAAAATATATGAAAAAAACTTAACCCGTATCACGCCAACAACTGATTTTAGAATAAATGTGTTTATTTCCGATGCAAAGACCCTATGAGTGAATCAATGTTAATATGTCCGTTTCAACGATTGAACTTTAAATATTAAAGATATATTTATATTAAAGTATGTTTTTTTCATTGCGTGTTTTTATTTTGTTTTCGATATCACCATGTTGGTAGCTGCTCTTTTCAAATTTGTATTGTACGTTTTACTTTAACATGTTTAACGACGTATGGTTTAGGTAGTAAAAGGAGTAGATGCGTGGTCAAGTGTAATTGCGTCTAACCCTGCCACATATTGTGCTTTTAACAGGTCAAGGTATCTTAACTATGTCTTTTTTTTCGTAAGTTTCTTTTTTAAGAGGAGTCGGTCGTTGGCAAAGTGAACTATTGTACTGTATAATATTTTTTGGTAATTCCTGTTATAATTTTTATGTACCATTTAATACAAGTAAAATAGGATAACATAATGTACTTACGTCTCTTTTTTGAGGTGAAAATATATGGGAGCTCATTATAGCACGACGTGCAGAAACGATAGGTGATATTGGCCACCATTTTGTTATATTTGGCAATGGTGTTATTAACTTCTATTATGGTTTGACGAACGTTTCGCAAATAAATTGTTTTGGTGGGAAAATGACCAGTCCATAAATTATTGGAGAAGCAGTCAAGTGTCTGTGAAAATAATTAAAACATTACTGAATGAGACATACATATGATTCATAATTATGGTAAACCTTATTCACAAATTATAATCGATTTTTATTTTAGTTTTCAATCTGATTATATATTCGGTGATTACATGGAAAACCTATGACATTTTGATTAAATGTGTGCATATATTTTAGCATGTATTTAAAAACATGCCTTTCAATTTGTTTGTTGTTGTTGTTTGGTTATGGTGTCCGTTACGTATATCCAACTCCTCGTTTTATTTCTTTAGATGTATGATACAATGTCTGTGCGCATGACACGTGTTTTTAGAATGACCTTTATTAAGTACTTTAATTACCATACGATCACAAACAAACATGTTATACTTAGAAAAGTTGTCCTAACTAGAACAATCAGGTTGAACTTTGAAGAGCTAAATGAAACTATATCCATTAAAAGTATTCAAAACAAGTGAAGAACTGGTACTGTCAACAGATACCTACTGAACCACATGTATGAAAAAAGTGAGTGTCATACACGTTTATTCTGTCTTTTATTTCAAGGGTTAAAAAATACTAGTGTGCCTGGAGGGACAGAGAAGACATGTACTACAATGTAATACAGCTAATGCTTTACCTTTACATGTTTACACATGTGTTTCAATCCGTCATTAAATACTCAAGTAGTTATCCCAGAAGATATTGTATAAGTTTTATTAAAATCCAACAAGTATACGCCAAAACATCATTAAGGAGAAACAAAAAGTTGCAACTATTATTTTGATATTATATAGGGCTGCGACCTTTGACCCTTTAGCCGGAAAATTGGATAACATTATTTTGACACTCACATTACCATCAAGAAACCTGGTTTTTTTTTTATTTTTTTTTATTTTGAGTCTCTGAGGCTGGATCCAAACCCAAAAGGCTTCTCTTTCTTTCACATATCTTTCATCTGTATACGTTTAATTTTAACCAAACAAAGGAAACAAACAAAATCCATTAAACAGCAACATCGAAATTGAGCCAATTGACAAAAAAATTAACCGGCTTCTTTTCCTTACCTATAACATCCATTTACATAGGATACATTCCAATTAACCGATATATATGTCATGTAATTTGTAGAAACAATTATCTTGAACTTTAAACTTTAGATCCCGAAATCTATAGATGTTTTACCATTTCTTGTGTCTTCCTTCTATTCACGTTCCATTTCAATCAAGATAGGCAAACTCTAACAACGATTTGGTAACCATTTTACAAAAACATTATATTTTAGTAACATTGTCATTGAACATTGAATGACTGACCCCACAATCAATGGACTTCTTTCCATTGCCTTTGTCATCCATCTGTATAAGTTGCATATTACCAACCAAGGGAAACTCCCGTTACCATCCTGAAACCATTTGTGTCGGACACAGAGAAGGAAGAAAGAATAGAAGGACGACCAGACGACTATACGCTGCCGTAAATACGTTTCAGGGAGCATAACAATGTGCATTCTTAATATGTAAATACACAGCTCTTTCTTTGAAAATGCACAGGGATGGTTTTCAAATTTACCACAAAAGGTGTATTTGATTAGATACCATTGTATGCAAAGAATTATTACCTCAAATTTGTTATTATTTGCTCGATCTCCTGAATAAATTTCTACTTTATATTGACAATCAGACAAGGTCTCTAAGGAAACGCTCACTTCTATTCTTTGAAATGTGTGGCCAGTATGATTAAGAATTATCACATTATAGCAGCCATCAATATCAGGAATATATCCACTTCCATCCCTCGATAGTATCAACTGAACATTTTCATTTGGTCTTGTCAACAGGATGTGGTAATTGCATTTTCGATTGGTTAAAACGGCAACTGCAATAGTAATCGCATTATGTGTAACATTCCGCCTGTACTTTATACATGTAACGACAATTCAGAAATTATACTTTCATAACTTTATTCCTAAAAAGTCGTAGAGTTAAACGTTTTCATTATATCATTTGCATTTGTTTACACTAAAGTTTCAGACAACACAAAGATAATTAAAAGGCAGACCAATATTCGTATGTTTCTTGCATATTTCTCGTATCTCTGCGTTTTTTAGTGTCAAATCGATGAACACGTGTACCTTCTACAACTATTTGTAAATATATGAGTGTTTAATTTGATTCCTACCTTGTACTGCAATAGATTGTGTTAACAGTACCAACACTACTGGTACGGAAGCACGAATCTACAATGCAAAGATCAAATATAACAGATTGAATAATATATACATATATTCAAACGTATCGGACATGCACATTGTAGTTTCCTCTTGAACTTCTTGCAAACAATTATCGCAAATTTTAAATTTGGTGAATTAAATGTTTGTACATTAACCAACAGTTTCCATCCCGATCGATCGATCGATCAAAAAAAGAGAGAGAGAGAGAAAGAGAGAGAGAGAGAGAGAGAGACAGAGACAGAGGCATCATATTCTAAGATTTAACTTTTAGGTTATCGAATTGATTTGCATGAAATTTAAGCCAATAAAAGCGGTCGTTTATGGTTGCTGATGCCGCTGATTGCTTCTGTCAAATGAAAAGTAGGTGTTGAAATTTCCACAACATGCTTCCGGTCCTTGTCATACGAATTTGTTTTATACTTCATGTTAAAATTTCTTACTTGATTGGTTATTACGAGAGACATATTTTACTCTCTTTTCTATGGATTATATTTTATAACCCTTCGCTAATAGTGTTATGTGAAACCCGTGCCTAGGAAGAACTCTGTGACATTATAGCGACAAGCGGTACGTATTTATAAACATTTTCGATTCCAACATGCCGCCTAAATGAACATCATATGACTCTATGTGGCGACTAACGAAAACGATTCATCCCTAAAGAGTTACAATCATTATATCACATCAACCTATTTCAAGCACGTCAGGGCGATGGACAAAAGTTGAAGACTTTTTATCAGAAATAAATAATCTAGCAATACGTGCGTTTGCAGACATGCAGGGAGATCAAAAGGATGTGTTAGTAAAGAAACATTTTATTCAAGGATTAAAACCAGACATCAATAGATTTGTTATATTATCAAATCCGTTAACATTTGAGGAAGCTTTACTTTTATAAGAGAGGAATGCATTACAACATTTAAACAAAGCGGGACCAGATAGTAAAAGTATCATTTGCAATCAGCAGTAACAATCTGGAAGACATCATTATAGATTTGAATGAACCAATTAAAGTATTAATAGCTATGCAATTGGATCATTGTTATAGATACGTGAAAATGTTGAAATATTTACGAAATTTATCTGTCGCGAAATTTGTTCCAAATGTTGTTGGAAAAGGAAATACATTCTTAAATAATTGAAAAATTCATATTTTGGAAATGTTTTTGTCGCAAAGTGTGTTCCAAATATTGTGGGAAAGAAAATGTGAAAATTTTTTTTTTGGAAATTGTTCTCCCGCGACGTCCATTCTGAATTAAGTAAAAATTTAATTTGAAAATTCTTGTCTCACCAAGATTGTTTCAGATGTTGTACAGAAAAATGCTATGAACTGAATCCAAAATGTTGTGTCGCCAAAATATGAGAATAAGTTAATGAGAAATGTATCGTAATAATAGTCAGTATTGAAATAATTGTGAGCTTGCAATAGTGTAAATGTTTTTGTAGCTACTAATTTTTCTCATTAGTATATAATATGATTCTATATTCTTTGTGATTTTTCATGCGATATAGAGTAAGGACATATTTGTATTGACTGGGTTTTATACTGAGCAATTACAGATCAGTTTTGAACGTCATACCAAATGTCTATATCCATGTAAGGGAAGATACTTTCACCTCAGCACGAGAACATTGGCAAACAGCTCAATGGAAACCAAAGGACCAATTAGACTTAAGAGCTGATTTGACTGACCACGCAGTGTATTTTTAGTCCAAGTGTCCAGGTTTTGTAGGTACTGTCATCCAAACTACTTTACAATTGGCATAAACCTTATAGGATCATTGATAAATTTTCGTTTACATACTATACGTTAATCGCATTAAATTGTGTATTGACCATGATGATAGGCCTTTGAAGGCCGAAGAAGAAACTATTTCATAAGTATCTGTTCCAAACATTAATAGTGACAATTATATTATAACAATTTTAGATTCATTGAGATCGCGAGATGAATCGAAAAGACTAGAGAAACATTACTTCGTACAGTATGAGAGTGGTTATACTCAGTGGGTTAAAGAGGACGCTATCAACGATTTTTATTTTGGGAGTGACTTCCATATTTTAAATAAGCAATGTTAGTAAATCTGTTTAAAAGAAAATGGAAACACAAACTTTTTATATTTGTTTGTAAATATGTAGGATTGTAATTGTTTGTGTGTCGGGACGCCAAACTTAATAGGGGTGATTTGTCATGGAACCGTAATTTCATAAATTGTATCTTTAGCAGTAATCATTTTTTGATTGACGATAACAAGTTGATAAGGTCAATATTAGTAACTAATAGTTCTGGGGTAATTGTTTTGATGAACTTTAGCAGACAGTATGAAGTACCGTTACATGTAATGTATGATGTAGCTCTGTTTTCATTCTAATCACTTCTCATTACAAGCTGTATATTTTATTACTTGTTTGTTTATATTCTGTCCCTATATTTGAGTGGTCTGGATGATACATTGATGTTGGTGAGAAAGTGTTGCAGGCGGCCGTCGAAGGATGACACAAGATGATGTAATAATATATTAGTATAGTGTACCTATATATAAATATATATATGAACTTGTATATAATAAATATGTATATACGAAATTGTGTGTGTTTTATTACACCAATGCCTAGGGAGAACTCCGTGACAGACGCTTTATCATTTGCAATCTTTTTTATTATACGGATTGATGTTATGTATATGACGTCATAGTCTATTACATTCAATTATATTTAAAAGACAATATCAATAGAACATTCAGCATAAAAGATTGAACAACAGCAGATTGTTACCCCACGAAAACAAATCTTTGTAAACATAGACTTTGCCTCGGTTGACAATGTTTTCCAGGGGTAATAATCTGCTCTGTCAACCTTTTAGCTCGTTGTTATTTTTATTTGTATTAAGTAAATGAAGCAAATCTAGTTTTTAACTTTTAGATACCATTTTTAGACGATAACAGCGACGAGACCTAGTCTAAGATATGATCGAATGCAATATCCTATAGTAAAACATATTATATATTATACGTTATAACACATTTAACAACATTTGCATCAGTAAATTTAATTAAATATATATTTAAAAAGGAATATTGTGTATTCTTGGGTGTTTTGATTTATATTATTTAACCTATGTGGTTCTAACCAAGCAAAAACATTTGACAAACACAAGTGCTTCATATAACTTCAAATTAATACGCTGTGAAAAGAACCGAACTATGGATGAAAAGAAGTACGAATTCGAATATACAATCTTTCTGTTATAATCATAATAAAACTACAAATAAATAATGACTACATGAATACAGTATTAAATGACAATTGCAGATATCTTATGTTTCCGGAACCGTTGAGTACCCTTAACAAAATGCCATTTTTCTATCAAAAAAGCTGCAGCACCATATGTGTTTTGCAGTTTTAGTCACACCCAAAGGTGTTGATAATTCAGAATTTGACAGTTTTATCAACGGAACTTTTAAAGTGAAAACGCAGGTCCCAAAAAGGCTACCATTGTCGCCTATGCAAATAATTACTTCATTTTAACCTAATATTTGACAGTTTTTTGCAATTTCTATTTATACTCCTTACTGTAGAAAATGTAGGTCAATACACAACAGAATAAAAAAAGGTTGGTAAATTATGTGTCAGTCTATTGATTAAAACATTTTCTTGACACAAATACTTTACAATCGTTTTTCATTTATCTAAAATAATTTGGTGAAACAATATTATTGACTTACGAATAGGAAAAGCATGTTGTTCCAATAACATAATTATATATTGTCATTATCGATTACTTTTTCGAATAAAAGATTATAATACTCGGTTATCATCCGGAATCCGCATTAGGAAATTTGAAATGAGATGGGTAAATACAAAACTATTATTACCAGTAATATAAAATGCTGTCTTTTGCCATAAAACAAATAAATATTTAAGGGATATTTTTTTTTTATTTTTTAAGTTCGTCCGACCAGACCTTTCGCTTTACGTGTTTGGTAAGGATATATTCTCGTTCTTGATTGCCGGTCCTTATGCGTGATTTAGATATTTTTTTGTGTTTCATTTTAGCCATGCCCTACATATTTTGTTTGGTGCTCAATATACCTTCCTTTTCGTACTTTTAATTTCGAATTCGTTAACTAGTGAATGATTGTTTTCCTAAAGCTAAAATAGATCATAATATTATGTTAATTACTAAATTAAATCAACTGAAATATATGTAATAGTTATACACCGAGGGATAGGTGTGTCTGGATAAGAAACCCCGTCGGCCGGAGGCCGGAGGGGTTTCTTATCAAGACACGCCGTATCCCGAGGTGTATAACTAACTTACACCCCATTCTTAACCCTATATTTGTTAACATTAATTATTAAACGAAAAAAAAAAACCAAACCGATAGCATATTTATTGACAATATCAAACCATGATTTATAAGATTATTTTTTTTTATTACATGAAACCCCACTAGTAGCCTTTCTTTGGCTATCTTCGTTCAAACTTTGACAAGTGAGTATATTTTACAAATGTCAAAGTTGTTTTGCATATTCCCGTTAAATCCATGTGCTAATATGGATCAGCAGGTCAAGGTTGACTGTTTCGTGTATATTTATATTACAAACAAAAAATACATTATGCTCCTTGTATACAGATGTCAATATGGACGGGTATAAGACGGACGACATTTTGTGGATGAGATGCATTGATCTTTTTAATAAAAGTCGGGACCAAACCCGCGGACCCCAACCCGGATCGGCCACTGGGTAATCCGGGGGGTCCGGGAATTAGAATCCCCGTTTTTTGTTTAAAGATCAATGCTTTAGAATAGAGACATATGACTGGGATAAAAAAATTACCTTCAAGCAAAGGAGTATTTCAAGGATTATTTTTGTATTCAAAATAGATGATTAATTTTCTTTCGCTATTGGAATTTCCTAAAATGTGTTTTTTAATATCTTGAAACAATTTGTAGTGAACACAAGTAGTATTTTCATGCTATTTAAAAAATAATCAATTTCT